ATACGGTTCATTAAGATGATGAACGATCGTTCTTAAGTTTGCAATTTGTTACGGTTCGGTGATCGTGTCGGTATGTAGATTCTTGAAGTTGTTTCGATTCTAAAATTTGATGTTTTTGTTTGTAGATATATGATTGGATGAGCAATAGAGGAGAGACATTTAAATTAACAGCTAGTGATGCTGCTATACAATTGGATCTTATTTCAAAAGTCTATGGAATTGCGAGTGCTGAAGATTACTTCGTAAGGTTGCCTAAAAATTTGAAGGATAGAAGGACATATGGAGCTCTTCTGAATGCCTATGTGAAAGCAAGACAGAGAGAAAAGGCAGAAACTCTACTTGCAAAAATGAGAACTAAAGGTTATGCGATTCACACGCTTTCGTTCAATGTAATGATGACTCTCTACGTGAACTTCAAAGAGTACGAGAAAGTCGAGTCGTTAGTGTCGGAAATGATAGAAAAGGGCATTCGCCTAGACATTTACTCGTATAATATATGGATATCATCTCGTGGATTACAAGGATCGATTGAGAAAATGGAAGAAGTGTATGAGCGGATGAAGCAAGACAGGACCATCAATGCCAATTGGACTACATTCAGTACCATGGCCACAATGTATATTAAGACGGGACTGATCGAAAAGGCTGAAGAATGCTTGAGGAGGGTCGAAAGTAGAATTGTTGGTCGGGATCGAATACCGTTTCATTATCTGATGAGTTTGTATGGTAGTGTTGGTAACAAAGAAGAAACTTATCGAGTGTGGAAGGTTTACAAAACTATTTTCCCGACCATTCCGAATTTGGGATTCCATGCTATAATCTCTGCTCTAATCAGGGCAGGGGACATTGAAGGTGCCGAAAAAATTTATGAGGAGTGGCTATCCGTTAAGACAGCGTACGACCCTAGAATTGCCAATCTTTTCATGGGGTGGTATGTTAAGGAAGGCATGTCGAGCAAAGCTGAGAGCTTCTTTAATCACATGGTTGAAGCTGGGGGAAAGCCAAATTCGAGTTCATGGGAGATCCTCGCCGATGGGCTTTCGAAAGAGGGTCGAGTTTCTGACGCTTTAGCTAGTTGGAAAGAAGCGTTTTCTGCCGAGGGTTCGAGGACTTGGAGGCCAAAGCACTTTAAGGTGTTGGCTTTCTTCAACCTCTGTGAGAAAGAAGGCGACATCGCCAGCAAGGAGGTTCTTGTTGGATTGTTAAGGCAGTCGAAATGTCTTCAAGACAAAGCATACGTATCACTCATTGGTTTGTCGGACGAGACAATCGACAACGATGTAGTTTCGGGGGAAGGTAGCAATATCGACGACGAAAGTGACAAAACCGTGTATGAGTCTGATGATTCTGAGATGCTTCTCGAGATGTGACAGATTCAATGACATTGTCATCTATCTATGGTTTCTGGGATTCATAATCAGAAATTTGGAAAAAATATTTTATCTGCGTGTCGTCCCGGTACCGGTCCGGTCCTGGAGGTTTGAGAATGATCATCAGTGGTTCAGTCTTCACGTGTAGAGGAGGTGAGAGCAACTTGGGATTTTGCTTTGGGGTGTGGGAGTTTGGTTAAACCCAAAGCTATACTCAGCAGAGGTATGTTTATTTAGATCTTTGTATGAATTTCTAAATGTAATTTTCCCAGATAGAAATCTTGGCATTTACTGAATAGGGTGGAAATTTTAGTGCAATTCCCTCATGGGCGGCTTTGATTAATAGCTTTTAAAAAGTATTGGTTTCCATCTTATTAGTGTTAGATGAACACACGACTCTCTATAGTGATATAATATTGTCCACTTTGAACATAAGCTTTCGTGACTTTGCTTTGAGCTTCTCAAAAGGCCTCATACTCATAGAAATAGTATTTTTTTAATTATAAATTCATGATCATTCCTTAAATTAGCCGATGTGGGACTTTCATCCAACACCTCCCCTCGAACAAAGTACGCCTCCCCTTAATCGAGGCTCGACTCCTTTTTCTTTTTGGAGTCTTAGTCATGTTTTGAGGCTCACAATACTTTTGTACGACATTTGAGAATTTTATCGACATGACTAAATTTAGGGCATGACTCTGATACCATGATAGATAAACACACGACTCTCCACAATGATATAATATTATCCAATTTAAGCATAAGCTCGCATCTAACAATAAGGTCGCTAATAGGATCATCTAAGCATAGTTTAATTGGTTAATATGTATATATATATTTTTGTATGATAATATAAGAAAGATTTGAAATGACAGTCGTTTTCGGTCATGAAATTGGAGTTGATGTTTTTTTAACGGTCTACAGCTCAAATCCGTGCTAGAAGTTGGCATCATCAAGTTGGAAACAGCTCGCCAATTGCAAAATGAAATTAATACAACCAATTCCAACTTGCTTTTAACGTGTCTTGTTTTATTCTATTGTTTGAATACAACATTTTTAATCACAGAAAAATCTTGTTTTACTAATTTGAGTTGTCAAAAATAGACGTTTTGAATTAAAAATTAAGTGAGGTAATTATTATAATAATACTCTTGCATAAAATTTACATAAAATTTAATATCGCTGCAGATTTCGCCTCCCTATCAATCTTAATCTCCACAAAATTTTCTACGTATTTTTTGTCGGGATTAGAATAGGAATTCCTTATGCAGAATCTCAAGGTTCGAGTTTTCTGTGAATTTTTTTTTTTTTTTTGTACTTTTTAAAAAAACTGGAGGGAGAATATAATTCTCGTCTTCGGCCCTTTTTAGCCAACAAGGAAAAATCTCTTCCCGTTCCCCTCTCCCCATTTCTCGTTTAAAAGGAGATTCTCCACCTTGTTTGAGCTGAACCCTCATGGGATCCCAACCCGAGTTAAATAGTCATCTCTACCTACGAGTTACTTGATAACTAAATGTTGTAGACGCTCAACTGATTAAGAAATTATATCCTTGACCAGAAAAACAAAAGTTCAAATCTCGGCTCCACATATTATTAAACTAAAAAATAAAAATTAAACTTATATTTGATATGTAATATTCATTGCAATAGCGTCTTTGTTCCTCTTATGAGTTTTAATTCCAAACATCATTACCCAAAATGTCCCTAGAGAGCCACTTAGCCAACCCCACGATAAAAGAAGTCCATGCCGAATTCTCGTGTCCTTTTCGGTCATTAAATAATTTCTTTAAAAAAATATTTTCTAAATGGTTAAAATTATACCAATTTAATTTTAAATTTCTTTTTTATAAAAAAAAATAATATCATCAAATAGTATGGTCCGGGACTAAAGTAATTCAAGTGGTAGAGACGTGTTTTGGGTGACCTTATTGCACGACAATAAATTTTTAATTAACAGGTAAACAACATTATTTCGTCTCTGAGTGTTAGATTTTTTTTTAATAAATATAATTTTTATTTTTCGGAGTGTTTTAAAGATAAGATTAAATTTACTAATTAAAATTACAACGGTAAATGGATAAGTAAAAAATAAATAAACTAAATATTATCTTTAAAAAAAAACCAAAGGTGAAAATAAAAGGAATAAAATAGTATTTAAACGATAAATAGATAAACATGTTCCATTAGCGCCCACGCCCTCCACGCTTCTATATAAAAACCATGAATTTCCAATTTGCCGGACACTACAACCAGAAAAATCAAAACCAAAACCAGAAAAAGCTCTGAATCTTGCTTGATTGTTCATCAATGGCGGAGCTAGAGGACCCGACTGTGATGCCGAAACTGATCAATTTTCTCTCTTGTCTTCTTCAAAGAGTGGCTGAATCCAACGATCAAAACCTCTCTGTTCATCTTCAACATCACAAAATCTCAGCCTTCCATGGCTTAACTCGTCCCGCCATTTCAATCCAAAGCTACTTGGATAGGATCTTTAAGTACGCCAATTGCAGTCCCTGTTGCTTTGTCGTTGCCTACATTTATCTCGATCGCTTTGTTCAAAGGCAGCCCTCGCTGCCCATCAATTCCTTCAATGTTCATCGCTTGCTCATCACTAGCGTTCTTGTTTCTGCTAAATTTATGGATGATACGTGAGTTTCTTAATCTTCTTGAAAATGTGGTATTTGATTTGGTTTTTTTTTTTTTTTTTTTTTTTTTTTTTTTTTACTTTTTCGAGTATGCCCGCAAGGTTACTGATGAAATGCCTAAATGAGTTCTGTTTTTTGAATGTCGGATAGGGGTTTTGAGACGTCGATTTGGCTTGCTAATTATGTTTTTTAAATTGAAATTGTGGTTTTTGATTGACGAAAACTTGATGTTTTTAAAGATTCTTTCATCTCAAATTTTGATGATCTTTATATGGGTTTGTTTTGATGAATCTGATGCTATGAGCAACTTGTTTGTTTTTTGGGAATCTTCTTGTCCTTGTTCATCATTTCATCATATAGTCGCTGAATATCTCTCATTTTCGACAGCTAGGCAGCCAGCAAAAAAGCATAGTGAACCAACCATACATGAATTTACTTTACAAATTTACTTCCATAAACAGCATTTTCCCCAAAAACATCAAAAAGGGGCTTTGAATTTGGGCAATTTGAGTTGAAATTTGCGCAATTTGTTATGCTTATTCAGGTACTATAACAATGCATATTATGCAAAAGTGGGAGGGATCAGCACAGCGGAAATAAACTTTCTTGAAGTGGATTTCTTGTTTGGTTTGGGCTTTCATTTGAATGTCACTCCCAACACTTTCCATTCTTATTACTCATATCTTCAAAGACAAATGCTTCTGCTACAACCTCCTCTCAGTAGCACTTCTGCAAAATCAGAGCTGATTCTTACAGCCAGAGCTCTGAAACCCCACTTTTGTTTTGATGAAGATGAAGCTTCCCATAAGAAGCAACAGCTTGCAGCTGTTTGAACAAATTTTTTACCCAAATTTGGATTCAAAATTTGGAGATCGTGGGCAAATTCCTCAGCCCATTTGGAGCAAAACCCAGGTTTCTAAAACTGGATTCTCTCTAGTTTTGAGCATGAATTTGTTCTGTTGTTTGCCTGATTAGATAGCTTTATTCAGCCACTGACTGGATGAGTCTGTAATGTATGTATATATGTATCTCTCACATATACACACACCAACACAGCTTTGCAATTTTGGGTATGGCAGATTTGGGTTCTGATCCTCTTTCATGGTCAGATCTTTGTTCTGTTTTCGATCTGTTTTGGTTATGAGTTCTTGGGTTTGAAATTTTATTTTGCATACAGATGAGATAATTCATTAGTGTTTTAAAAGATTTTGCATTAGTTTATTCATTACCTATAACATCTACTAGTGGTGGATTAGATAATATCTACTAGTGGTGGACTTTGGCCGTTACGAATAGTATCAGAGTCAGTCACCGGGCAGTGCGAGGCACTAGTCGGAATAAGGCTAGACCCTCTCTAAAATCATGAGACTGACGACGATACGTAATGGACCAAAGCAGACAATATCGACTAGTGGTGGACATGAGTTGTTACAATTGTGATTTTTTTAGCACGACAAATCTTCTATTAGTAAAAAAAAAATATTTGAGATACTTCTTTAAAAGGGTTCTAAAAGACGTGCATGTAAAACAAATCACACCGATATTGCATATCTTTATCCAATTTAAAGTCTCTTGAATCTCTATAAACCGAAAAAATTTTGTAAAGCGATTTTTTTTTTTTAAATGTTATTCTAATGTTTTTAGTTTAAAAATAAGTGGTTAATTTTAAGGTTTTTTTTAATCCCATCTCTCTTTCATGGAAGAGGACACAAAACTTTCAAAATATGCATAAAATCCTCATTGACCCATTTGTTTCAATTAGAGGCACTAAGGTACACAAGGTATTGTCCTTTCAATATGGGTGAAAAGGGTGTCAAGAATCAATTAAATTAAAATATATGATTTTTACGTTTCCTCGATCCACCCGAGCATAGTTTAATAGGTTAGGCATTAATATCACTAGGTCAACTCGAGCATAGTATAGGTTGTTGGGCATTAACGTTTCTAAGGTTTCATTTAAAATGTTGTAGCATCTAAAATAATTGTTGAGGCAAATTAATGTTCAATAAATTTTAATTTCAAACATAGAAACGAAAAACATACCATTTAAGTATATTTGATTAAATTTATTAGATGATAAATATTTTAAATATATATATATAAATAATTTTAAATTACAAGTAATTTTGTTTAATCAATTAATTAATTACAGTAAATATATTAAATCCACCCATACATGAAGCAATTGAGCTGTCCATCATGCTTATGATAATTTAAAATTTAATCTCTCAAATAAAATGAAAAGGGATTTAATCATCAATTTATTTAATTTTTATTTATTTATTATTATTTTGTAGTTATTGACAGTTGGCTTGGTTGTTTAAAGTGGAACAAAGAACATGTGCATTCATGGACATGCACCAAACCAACATGGATCCAACTCATTGGTAGTTGTCAAATTGTTTTTTTTTTTTCTCAATTTGTGGTTGTGAAATTTTTTCCATTATTTTCATTTAAATTTCGGTTAAATTATAAAAATAAAATATTTTTAAATTTTCAATTTTTCATCAGCGGTTTATATTTTATTTATTATGATTAATTAAATTATTAAATTTTGGCTAAACTATTAATAAATAAGAAAATGGCTAAAATAAAAATATAATTAATAAAATCCAAGTAATATTACATGTAATATTTTATAAGTTTGTGTATAAATATATTAAACAATAATATGATCTGTATAACCAAGGGGAAGCCTAAAAGCGTCTTTTCCCCCAAACACCAAGCCTTTC